GGGGGTACCCCATCTTAAAGTGACAGTGGTGATTGTCAGAAAATAATTAATAGAAGATATGAAAATCTTTTTCTGTTGTGTGGTCAAACTGATTTCGCCCTTGAACTGTACCATTCTTTAACAGACAATGTCTACACAAATTTAAACAGCATTAAAAATGGTAAAAGTGAACAACAATTTCCATAAGATCTTGTCTGTCTTCTGTCAGCCAAGTGTTGGCTGTTTGTCAGCCGACTGTTGGTCCTCTGTTGCCTGCTTGTTGGCCGACTGTTGGGTGGCAAACTGCCAACAATTTTTGTTATGTTTCAGACAAAAGTGGTGACAATAGTCCACGAACTGTTGGCAATCTGTCGGTAATCTGTTTCTTTGGGTGTGACCTCACCAAAATAGTTTTCTCAACCTAATAAGGTAAAGGTACTTGGATAATTTTTTGTACTAACGCCATGGTGGTTCAGTGGCTACCAAACCGGCATCAAATGTAAGACTCACCTTGTCACTTCAAAAATGGGATCCCCTCCACACGGGGGTAGTGTTGCTCATCCATGAGTAGCAATATGAGCCACATTATAATCCAAACCAGATTTCTCCTTACATTACTAATACATTGACAAGAAAAGAAATGACGAGAAGATCGGAAATCATCAACGAAATGTATAGCAACCAGTGAAACATTTTATTTTACATTTACTATATTTGACATTGCTCTGAATACCCTCGGGCATTCAAGCTTAGGTTAAGTCTTGTTTTGCTGCGTGTCTGTTTCTAAATCATCTGTGAAAGGTATAGTTTTATTGGCAGTGATCAATGTACAACTTCTCCATACCAAGTCACAACAAAATCAGTCAGCTAGGAAATGAGAATCAAGGATTGCTGTAATATAAGTTTAAAAACTAAATTCCCCCGCGTAATTTTAAGAAAATGTATTGATATAGAAAGGAGAAATTTGATGTTGGTTGGTGGATAGTTGTATACGTAGTTTCCACACCACTACAACGAAGGTGGACAGCAAGGCAAATGTTTGTTCTTTGTCGTCCACAGACTCAAATCCACGATTTAAAACAAGCTCAAAACCCATCCTNTGTTTCAGACAAAAGTGGTGACAATAGTCCACGAACTGTTGGCAATCTGTCGGTAATCTGTTTCTTGGGGTGTGACCTCACCAAAATATTTTTCTCAACCTAATAAGTTAAAGGTACTTGAATAATTTTTTGTACTAACGCCATGGTGGTTCAGTGGCTACCAAACCGGCATGAAATGTAAGACTCACCTTGTCACTTCAAAAATGGGATCCCCTCCACACTGGGGTAGTGTTGCTCATCCATGAGAAGCAGTATGAGCCAAATTATCATCTAAACCAGATTTCTCCTTACATTACTAATACATCGACAAGAAAACAAACGATGAGAAGATAGGAAATCATCAACGAAATGTATAGCAACCAGTAAAACATTGTATCTTGCATTTACTATGTTTGACATTTTTAGCTATTGCTATTGCTCTAAATGCCCTCGGGCATTCAAGCTTTGGTTAAGTCTTGTTTTGCTGCGTGTTTGTTTCAAAATCATCTGTGAAAGGTATATGTGCGAGTTTTATTGGCGGTGATCAATGTACAAATTCTCCATACCAAGTCACAACAAAATCAGTCAGCTAGGAAATGAGAATCAAGGATTACTGTAGTATAAGTTTAAAAACTAAATTCCCCCGCTTAATATTAAGAAAATGTATTGATATAGAAAGGAGAAATTTGATGTTGGTCAGTGGATAGTTGTATACGTAGTTTCCACACCAGTACAACGAAGGTGGACAGCGAGGCAAATGTTTGTTCTTTGTCGTCCACAGACTCAAATCCACGATTTAAAACAAGCTCAAAACCCATCCTCGATACAGCTGCGCTCAACGTTACTGGATCCTGCGGTAAATTTGTTGTTTCAACGAATGAAAACGGACTTGGACTCTGAAAAAGAGAAACTGGAACAAGCACAGAATGATCTCAGCGCTTGGAAGTTTACTCCTGACAGGTGATAGAAAGTTTCCAGAAATCAGCTTTTAGTAGCAAAGACCCAACAAAGAATGAAAGTAAACTGAGCAAGAAGCAGCCTTGCTTGACCCATAAGATCTTATTCGTGTGTCCAATGGTACCTGACTCTCGGTTGCCTTACTTTATGCATTGAAGAACAGTGGCTTACCTTTGCAGTCGGGGGAACAACCGCTTGTTTCGCTTGGAATACCGTTTACAAGAACTGATTGAGCACACTTTTTTTGGTTGTGTCGTTTCTTAGCAACTTGACACGTCTTACTGACGTTCCGCTGACAACAACTTCGGAAGTGCTCGTTTCATTT